CATGGACCAAAAAAGCTCAACATATGGAAATACGGAAGCTTACATACACATAGCTTGAAAGGCAGCGAGTACACCTGGCATACAACCTCCACACACTAAACCTATTGGAAAGTCCCTTGAACCAAACCAAGGCCTTTGATTCAACGCGCTGTTCCCGAAACCTGACATTTGGTATGAGTTCACTTTGTAAGGTCTGAGCGTGTCCGCCAAACAGTCGTTTCGAGGCTCGGGAAATGAGCTGACCAGAAACTTTAAACCAGGTAGAACCACCCTCTGGTCAACTGGGGGCAATTGGGCAGCTCAAGGAACCCACTTCAAGAGATGGCCCTGGGAAAATGGTAGCGAGTGAGGTTCCAGTAGTTTGGAGGGGGTACCCAGATTCAACGTGAAGCAAGGAAGGGCTATGTTTCCCTAAATGTGGATTCAAGGCAGCAGGTACACCTGGTATACCTAAACCCATTGGAAAGTCTCTTGAACCAAAGGGCTATGTTTCCCTAAATGTGGATGCGAGATGGGACACCCCTAGCCGGCTAGGGGTCTTATTCCACAGGGCCAAATACGTTGCCACCACAATGGCTCCTCGGACCACAAAAGTGAGTCATCCATCCTACTGATCTGGGCTTCCGGAAAAAAGCAAGCTCCTTGAAAAGGCGCCACGGAAAAGGAAAAAAAACGACCGGGTGGTGTGCAAAAACAAATGAAATCTCGGTGGCTCGCTTTTTTCCCAAAAGACAAACGGCGGTTTGCCTTTTGGCTTCCTTCTAACCCCAAGTTCGAAAACAAATCCGCGAGAAACTACCCTCCAAAACCGACCAAAGACCCCCGCCAACGCTCGCCAAATGACCCTGGCAACTCCTCGCCTGCGTAAGCCCGACACCGTAGAAGAGCCCCAGCACCGGCAGGAAGACTTCCGCGATGGCCAGCACGAAGGGCGTGGTCACCACGAAGGTGGTCGTGCCTCGTCCAGGTGCTTCTCTTGGCAAGTACGTTCTCTCACTTGCTCCATTGGGCCTGCACATGAAAGCCTAACATATTGAAACCATAAACCAAAAAGAAAAACTGCCGAACTGGTCCAACGGTCAGATCTAGTCGATTCGCTTTGGTCAAGTGCCCAGGAATGCTACTCAAGTGGACCAGGTCAGTCTGCTGAAACCAACCTGGCCTCTTGTCACCACCGTGGTTTGCAACTTCCTGGTTCGCCAACCCCCAGAAAGTTAAAGTCAAACCGAGGGATCCGACAAGAAGCTTGGCATGCTTATATGCTTCTCACCTTATGGTGACCTTTTGAACTTAAATCCATGGGGGTGTCCCTGGTAAATAGGGAATAAAACCTATTCGTTAACCGGTGGAACCCATCGATTTCTGACCAAAGCACCTAAAAGGAGACCTATGGTTCAGACAAAGGTAATCTCTGTTTTTCCCACCCACTTTCGGACCCCTTTTCTTGGTTCGGTCAAAGTCCGTGAACCAAACAGGTCAGCTTTGACAGTCTCGAGACCAACGGGTCATGCTCGATCGGTTTACTCGTGTAGAAAGCACGGGTTGAACAATCCAGTGGATCCCAAGCGTTCCGGGCCCTTACAGTAGCTCGGTTGCGAAATCTGCTCCCCTGCTAAAAGTTTAACTTTCAGTGGTTTAATGGAAAACCCACTAGTTAGCAAAGAGTTAAAGTCCTGACATCCAAGCAAAATGCACCAAAGGTAGGTACCCAAATGGCCATGGTCCTTGGGCAAGCCCTTGCCCGCAAACCCCAAAAGACTGGGATCCACTGGCTACGGGACCGATATTTCCATTTAGAAAGGCGGCCACACGGAAACACCACTCACCTCGGCCGCCGAAAAAATGGCTCGCGAAAACAACCACCTGGTTCCGGCCAACGCAGAACCGCGCGAACCCAAAAAATATGCGGCCCATATGACGCCATGCCCACATTGGGACATTCTGCTGGGGAAAACCGGGTGACATCTGGGGCCTTTGTTGGCACCCGGGTTTCTTGACCGAAAAAATATGCGGGGCTTTCCGGGTGGGACGACGAGCCGGGCGTAAAACTCGGGCGAAAATTCGCTTGGCGCCTGCCAGAAAGCCCCCGACGCCGCCCTGGAAGTAGGCGCCCGCCATGACGCCGCCCAGGATGCCCGTGGTGAAGGCCCCGATCAAACCTCGCTCGGGACTCGCCCCGCGCGAGGCCGAAGCGCCGGAAGATCGCCAAAGATCTCCAAAGCCAGGTTTCAAGGGAAAGCACCCCTTTGTGTCAGTTGAAAGGGAAAACACCCCTTTTGTCGGCTTCAGGGGACTTTTTTGTGGGCTTTAAGTTTGGTGCACCGGTGGCTTCCCATCCCTCAAGATCCAGGGGTCGGGGTTGCCTGAACAATATTCAGCCCACAACTTGCTGGTGCAATAGGCAGGGAAGGAGAAAAGGAATGACCCGGACATAAACCATCCAACTGGTGTGGTTTTCTTCAAGGGGACCGAAGCCTGGGTTCATTCCCACATTCCCCGAGCACCAGCAAGTCGGTCAGATGCCATGTTCAGCTGGATTGATTGGTCGGATGATTTCGGAACCATTTTTTCCGAAGCACAATCAAAACCGATCGGATTGTTTAAAAAATAAAAAATGGACCAAAATCCACGTAAGGAAATTCAAAGGCGACAACTGGCTGGGGATGCCCCCTCGCCTTCATCTGCCCGTGTGTTGATTGTGGCTCAAATGGTGAACCACCTTTTAGCAATGCAAACAAAAGGAATCCGAGCGACTTGGCAGACCATTTGGAGCGCTGCACCCAGGTCCAAAGATCCCATCTTTAACAAGCCGCCATCGCAGCAGTATACATGAGAATGGGACAAAATCAAACCAGGATATGGACAGGCTTCATGGTTCCACTTCTTGGGAACCTGGTTCCATGTACAGAGGCCTTCTGGGAGCTTCGTCCACCTGCCCCCAGCTTAAACGCCACCTGGCTACCCTTTCAGGGCTGGGCCACGGATCTCCCCTACCTTTTTCGTTCATCAGAATCAGGTCCATACTTTACCTTGAACTATGGAACACCTATGGTTAACAATCAATATATATATATATATATACACACTTACACATATACATATATCTATATATATGTATATATATTTGTCCCAAGAGACCTCAAACCGTTCCCCAAGCCCAACACACTCTCCTCCCCCATCTCCGCCGCGGCGCCGGCCACCGCGCCGGTGACCACGCCGGCGGCCGCATCCACCGGGGCGATGAGCGTGGCCTTCCTCGGACCGGGGCTTTGGTCGTGGGCGGAGACATGGGATCCGCCCCACGGGTGTTGACCCCATGGAAGAAGGGGCAACCCACCAGGTTTTTATTCATTTATCAAAAATATCAAAAATGGGGGACCTGTTGTTTGGTTTCCTCTTTTATTTATATATATATATATATATATATTTCTTAAAAATGTCAAAAATGGGGGGGTGTCCATTTCTGGGTGAAATGTGGGGGAATCCTCAAACATGGGTAATCCTGTAAATTCGGGAATCCTTTATTCGAGAATCCTTAACCATCCCAAAGTGGGAATCCACAAAGTGTAAAGTTCATTTTAATTGAAAGGTGACGGTTGTTCGGTCGTTGGCAAGAAACATATCCAACAGAAACATATCCAACAGGGATCCGGATGCATTATACACCTGAACATTGCCTTGTAAATGGTGGTTTCCCTTTATTTTGGTGTTGAAAAGGCAACAGGTTTCAATTGGGCAAATGTATCTTTTAAGGAGCCCTGCCCAAACATGGGTAATGTTGAACCTCATGGAAAAAAGCAACCCACCAGTTTATTAAACATATTTTTAAAGATTGGGGGGTGTGTCCATTTCTAGATGAAATGTGGGGAATCCCCAAAATAGGTAATCCTTTATTTGGGAACCCTTTATTCGCGAATCCTTAACCATCCCCCAAAGTGGGAAGCCCCCCAAAAGTGGGGCAAGTTGGCAAAACGGCAACTGTTGTTTGGTCGTTGGCAAGAAACATGTCAAAAATGGCTAATTTTTGGTGGCACTAAAAGTGGAAAGTTGGTAAATGGAAGGACTAAAACCTGCGGTTCAATTAGTGTTCCAAAAAGTTTACCCCCCTCCCCGCTTGATACTGTTGGATGCAGAACTCATTCCAAGGTGAAGCATGGGTGCCAAAAGAGTTGATTTCTAAAAAAAATCCAAGAACTCAGAACATTTGGACGGACGCCCCTTGTCCCTTCACGCGTCGCCCCGCGACCGAACGAGAGTGCCTTTGGCCGGCTTTGTTTCTCTGGATTCCCCCACTCCAGGGCTTCAAATCCAAATCCAATCCATTCCAATCCAAACCACCAGCACCCCCCCCAAACCTTTATCAGGCACCCCCCATTGGTGGATTGGATTGGTGGTTGGGATGTCTTGCAATGCTTTGCAACATTTCTCAGCAAGCTCTGTGATGAGAGCGCTTCAGCGTGATTTAGAGTAGCTTAAAGAGTTTTAGGGGGTTTTAGCGTATTTAGAGTGGTTATAAAGAACATGGTCTAAATCATAGCGGGTCACACCTTCTTCCCCCAAGCTCTTTTTCCCGAAAGCATTCCGAAGGGTTCCTCCGGTAAAGTCGTTGCGTTCTGCACAGCTCAACTGCATAGGGAAAGTAGACAGTGCAATGCATAGAGGCATGCATAGGAAAAGTGTGCAGTGAAACGCATAGGGCAAGCACAGAGTGAAAGGCATAGATGCATGCACAAAGAAAATAGACAGTGAAATGCATGGAGGCATGCACAGGGAAAGTACACAAATAAAATGCATAGAGGCATGCACAGGGCAAGTACTGGGGGCAAGTGCATAGATGCATGCACAGAGAAAGTAGACAGTGAACTGCACAGGGGCATGTGCAGAGTTGACAGTGGAAGGCATAGAGGCATGCGCAGGAAAAGTAGACAGTGAAATGCATAGAGGCATGCATAGGGCAAGTACAGAGTGAAATGCATAGATGCATGCGCAGGGAAAGTAGACAGTGAAATGAATAGAGGCATGCACAGGCAAAGCAGACAGTGAAATGCATAGAGGCATGCGCAGGGAAAGTAGACAGTGAAATGCATAGAGGCATGCGCAGGGAAAGTAGACAGTGAAATGCATAGAGGCATGCATACGGCAAGTACAGAGTGAAGTGCATAGATGCATGCACAGGGAAAGTGGACAGTGAACTGCGCAGAGGCATGCGCAGAATTGACAGTGAAACATGCATAGAGGCATGCGCAGGAAAAGTAGACAGTGTGATGCATAGAGGCATGCGCAGGGAAAGTAGACAGCAAAATGCATGGAGGCATGCATGCGCAAGTACAGAGTGAAATGCATAGATGCATGCGCAGGGAAAGTAGAAAGTGAAATGGATAGAGGCATGCATAGGGCAAGTACAGACTCAAGTGCATGGATGCATGCACAGGGAAAGTAGATAGTAAACTGCATGGAGGCACGCGCAGAGTAAAAAGTGAGTCTTTTAGAGGCATGCGCATGGCAAGTACAGAGTGAAGTGCATAGATGCATGCGCAGGGAAAGTAGACAGTGAAATGGATAGAGGCGTGCATAGGGCAAGTGCAGAGTGAAGTGCATAGATGCATGCACAGGGAAAGTAGATAGTGAACTGCATAGAGACATGCACAGAGTAAACAGTGAAATTTATAGGGGCATGCGCAGGGCAAGTACAGAGTGAAGTGCATGGAGGCATGCGCAGAGTAGACAGTCAAAGGCAGAGTTGGAAAAATGGACCGAATGCTTTCGGGTCATCCGTCTTCTAGTTAGACAACCGAGCCGACCTCCGAGCTGCGCGATGTCCGTGGCGCTCTTGGCACGGGTCACCCAGAAGGACTTCAGCACGTCGGTCTCGAGGGCTTCCGAGTCCGGCTCGCACATCACGCAGAGATTCTCGCAGTTGAACTTCACCTCGGCTTCGATTCGCTTCGATTCGACGCGTGGAGAACGGAAGCCTGCGATTCTACCTGAATCAAAATGTACAATCTCATGCGCAAGCTCAACTGCACCATTGCACCCCTACAATGCGGATTTCATGGTGAAAACGGGAGCTGGCCTCAAAATGGTAGCAATGGATTCAGATGGGTGTCGCTCGAAATAGTGCTCGTCCTTTAACTGGGTCGTTCCCTATATATTTTCCTATCAAACATCACACTAAGAGAACACACTTTCAACATTGGCAACCAAAAACTGACGTTTAGACTGTCTGACAGGCACCCGTTTCAGAGCTAACGTGGCTAAGGTCTGCAGAGGCTTAACCATAACCTCCAGGAAACCAGGTGGTAGAATACTGAACTTCACCTGGCTCCTCAATAGAATACTGAGCTTCAGGCAAAATAGGGCGCCCTTAAAAATAATTCTGAAAACTCACCCCAAGAGGAAGCTCTTCGAAATTGGCAACCTACGAAGACTAAGATGGCGATAGGCCTTTATAGGCCGCGCTAGATGGCTACAAGGGTCACTGCGATGGTTCTTTTGCCGAAATGATTACAAAGACTCTTGTCTGGGCTGCGGAATCAGCGTCAGTTGGCGACCCATCTCGAACAAGCGAAGCAGCCAACCCTCTGCCCGATCGAGCTAACAAGAACACCCATTGACCTTTGGCTCTACCAAGGCGAAGACTGTTGTAAAAGCTTTTATCTGCCGTGTTAAACCAGTAGAACTCCCCTTGTAGAATGGCTAATAGGAATCGATCTTGGGTATGCTCGGTCAAAACCTAGGGTCCTGTCAAAGCTTGTCCTCTTGGAGCCTGTGTTGGGCGCGTGTCAAATAGAACGCACAGAAGCGTGGCAAGCCTCTTGGGGCATTCATTTGGGGGATTTCTTAAGTTTTGATTCAGATGGGTGGATGGCTCGTCGTTTTTGAAGATTTTATACCCTTTTTTAGGTGGGCTTAAAGGGAAACCAAAAGGAACCACCATTCTTGACTTGGGGGACCCCTAACACCATTTTTTGGGGGGTCCCCCAAAAAAAAACACACCCATATGCGGATTAGAACTTGGGCGCTTGCGCGCCAAATCCCCGACTTCAAGTCGATGTGCTCCCCATATCTTCAATGGGCTGAAAGATTGGAGACCCCAAAGAAAGATTGGAGACCCCAAATATGGGCGCAAAAAGGCAAGAGCGTCTTGTTTGAGGCTCGGTATCCCTTTTCCGTGGGGGAAATACGTTTATTTGTTTTGTCTTTTTTTGTGTGGGGTCCTCTAAGGAAAGACATGGCCTTTGTTCTTGGAGGGGTTGGGAGTCCACCCCTAAGTTCGTTCAAGCGGGCAGAAAAAAAAAAAACACGCGCCCCCGTCCCACAGCTCGCCTCCGAGATCAAGGCTTGCACCGCCATGAGCCACATCTTTTGCACCAGCCGGGCGTTCTGCGCCGGAGTGTTGATGCGGCCCTTCCGGAGGCTTTCCACCTCATCCTGGGGGGTAGGCCTGGTACATGGATAAGAACCTATCTAGCATTGGAAGGAATTTCTAAACAGGCTAAGCCAAAAAGGGCACCGATGGTTCTGACTTCGGGTTCCTCAAAAAACTTTCCCCAAATTCAAAAACTTTCCTCAAAAACTGGCCAGAAACGGCTCCCAGTGTTTTTCCCACCGGGTCAGGCACCATACCGACCAGGCAATGGGCCGGGGTCACTCTGGCCCTTGCGCGACACCAGACACTACACGCCAGAAAGCATTAGCAGCGGCGGCAAGTTCTCCTAGCAAGTTTTCTGTGCAAGTTGCTTTGAGCAAGTTGCTGGCGCGAGATCCTCTGAGCAAGTTCTCTGCGCAAGTTGCTCTGAGCAAGTTGTTGGCTCAAGTTCCTCTGCGCAAGTTCTGCAAGCAAGCTCTCTGCGCAAGTTGCTCTAAGCAAGTTGTTGGCGCGAGATCCTCTGAGCAAGTTCTCCAAGCACGTTTTCTGCGCAAGTTGCTCTGAGCAAGTTGCTGGCGCGAGCTCCTCTGAGCAAGTTCTCCAAGCACGTGCACGTCTTTTGCGCAAGTTGCTCTGAGCAAGTTGCTGGCGCGAATTCCTTTGAGCAAGTTCTTCAAGCAAGTTCTCTGCGCAAGTTGCTCTGAGCAAGTTGTTGGCTCGAGTCCGCCTGCGCAAGTTCTCCAAGCAAGCTCTCTGCGCAAGTTGCTCTGAGCAAGTTGTTGGCGCGAGTTCCTCTGAGCAAGTTCTCCAAACACGTGTTCTGTGCAAGTTGCTCTGAGCAAGTTGTTGGCGCGAGTTCCTCTGAGCATGTTCTCCAAGCAAGTTCGTTGCGCAAGTTGCTCTGAGAAAGCAAGTTCTCTGCGCCAGTTGCTCTGAGCAAGTTGTTGGCGCGAGTTCCTCTGAGCAAGTTCTCCAAACACGTGTTCTGTGCAAGTTGCTCTGAGCAAGTTGCTGGCGCGAGCTCCTCTGAGTGAGTTCTCCAAGCAAGTTCTCTGCGCAAGCTGCTCTGAGCAAGTTGTTGGCGCGAGATCCTCTGAGCAAGTTCTCCAAGCAAATTCGATGCGCGAGTTGCTCTCAGCAAGTTGTTGGCGCGAGTTCCTCTGGGCAAGTTCTCCAAGCACGTTTTCTGCGAAAGTTGCTCTACTCAAGTTGTTGGCGCAAGTTCCTCTGAGCAAGTTCTCTAAGCAAGCTCTCTGCGCAAGTTGCTCTGAGCAAGCTGTTGGCGCGAGTTCCTCTGAGCAAGTTCTTCAAGCACGTTTTCTGCGCAAGTTGCTCTGAGCAAGTTGTTGGCGCGAGTTCCTCTGCGCAAGTTCTCCAAGCAAGCTCTCTGCGCAAGTTGCTCTAAGGAAGTTGTTGGCGCAAGTTCCTCTGAGCAAGTTCTCCAAGCACGTGTTCTGCGCAAGTTGCTCTGAGCAAGTTGTTGGCGCGAGTTCCTGTGCGCAAGTTCGCCAAGCAAGCTCTCTGCGCAAGTTGCTCTAACCAAGTTGTTGGCGCGAGCTCCTCTGAGCAAGTTCTCTAAGCAAGCTCTCTGCGCAAGTTGCTCTGAGCAAGCTGTTGGCGCGAGTTCCTCTGAGCAAGTTCTCCAAACACGTTTTCCGCGCAAGTTGCTCTGAGCAAGTTGTTGGCTCGAGTTCCTCTGCGCAAGTTCTCCAAGCAAGCTCTCCGCGCAAGTTGCTCTACTCAAGTTGTTGGCGCAAGTTCCTCTGAGCAAGTCCTCCAAGCACGTGTTCTGCGCAAGTTGCTCTGAGCAAGTGGTTGGCGCGAGTTCCTCTGAGCAAGTTCTCCAAGCACGTTTTCTGCGCAAGTTGCTCTGAGCAAGTTGTTGGCGCAAGTTCCCCTGAGCAAGTTCTCCAGGCAAGTTCTCTGCACAAGTTGCTCTGAGCAAGTTGTTGGCGCGAGTTCCCCTGAGCAAGTTCTCCAAGCAAGCTCTCTGGCGAAAGTGTACTTCGCACTTAAAAGCTTCGATTTTCGAGCCGGAGCTGCGAAAGTTTACTTTGCGTACAGCGAACTACTTTCGTTCTCAAAAGTTGCCACTTTCCAGCGAGAGCTGCGAAAATGTACTTCGCGTACTACTTTCGTACTTAAAAGTTGCGATTTTTGAGCTGGAGCTGCCGCGGACCAGGGGGGAATCTTGCCCACGACCGCGCGATTCAGGCGCGCAAACCACAAGACAACTTCCAAAGGCCATCAACACGCAAGAAAGCACCCCTGCCCTTGACCTTGCATGGGAACAAAACGCTGCGCCTGCCGCGAAATCTGCACCTCAGGTTGCCAAAGTCTCTGTCTCTCTCCCTCTCTCTCCCCCCTCTCGCCCCCCTCTCTCTCGCTCTCTCTCTCTCTCTCCCTCCCTCCCTCCCTGTCTCCCTCTCTCTCTCTCTCTCTCGCTCTCTCTCTCTCTCTCCATCTGATCTATCTATCTATCTATCTATCTATCACCTGACCCGCCACGAGATTGTGCGCGGCCGCGCCATTGAGGAACTTTCCGAGACCGTGGCAAACCCGTGGCAAAATATGCACATGTATGATGATTAAAAAAAAAAAACGACATGCCCTTTAAACAAATGCAAAAATGAACCCTAATCCCTACAAATCCAGGAAGTAGAACATAAAACCAATGGAAAAAATGGAGGTCGGACACAGATTGGGCTAAATTGGGCTTGACATCAGCAGGTTTGGGTGCAGCTTTTTCTTGGCGATCAACCTCTCCTCGACTTCCTTCTTCGCCACCTTGTAGGAATTCCCCTTGATCCAGGTATCCACATACTCCTCCGCAAAGTGATAGTCGTAGACGCCTGTCAGACAAAAATTGGACTTAGACCCCCCAATAATACTCATAACGAAACTTGGACTTTTCGGGAAAAGGAAGGTGTTGAAACAGGGCGCCCGACGGATTTGAACACATCGCCCCTGCCAAGGGAAACTGAAAGAACCAGAAGGTGATGCTTTAAACCAGCAAGTCGACTTTGCGTGGGATACTCACACAATAAACCGCCACGGGTTGTGCAGCAAAACTCCTTAGAATGGAGTTTGGGTCTTTCTTTCTTTAGAGGGCGCCCGCCACACAAAATGTTTTTCCTAGTGGTGTCCAACAGAAACAGACTGAGTTCGGTATTTCCACGCGTGCACCCCCCCACCCCCCTCCCTGGCCCAGGATTGGGCAAAAATTGTTTACAGGAACCAATCTGGATACTCTCTTGGTATCTTCCGTCCACTTGGCACAAAATCCAAAGTTCAACGACACAGCTTTGTGAGTCGAGTTCAGGAGATGTCGCCGTCCGCTTCCGCCCCAACCCGCCCCTTCCGCGCCTGCGAGCTTCGCCTCCTCCAGCTCCGCGCTCGCTGCCGCCGCCTTCTCGGCTGCGTGCACGCGGACGCCGTGATCGCCGCTGCGCCGGGCAGCGGCGATCGCGAGGGCGGAGAGGGCGAGGAAGCGGCGCGCCATGAAATCGAAAAGTGTTTAATAGACTCGGACGGCGTGGATTTTGGCGAAACTGCGGCAGAGGTGAACGGGAGGCCGTGGTGTCTCGGCTCTTGTGATGAATTACGTTGAAACAGGAGCCCCTATTTTGGCTGAATTAACAACAAGGGCTTTTTAAGACCCTAACCTAAAAAGGACTTAAGAAAGGGTTATTCCCGAATTCCAGAGGGTTACTTCAACAAAGGGGTTTTCAACCGCGCTCTTTCCCTCCTTTGCTTCAACACCACGGCCCGGTTCTTGTTTCAGAAAATACAAGAACTCAGTCACGATATGCAGCTGATGCGCAATATATCACTTCAATCTAATCAAGTTCTCACAAACAAAAGCAACCTGTGGAAATGCGAAACCTTTAGCAAAATCGTGTTGCAACCAGCGCTTGAACAATGGAAATGGTCTTGCTAGGGTCCCAGGCATTTGATTTGGCTCTAATCAAATTGACTTTGGGGTGGGGAGCGGGGTAGTAGGCTAGGGGGTAGTTTGTCATCTGCACCTGCACATGCGGGCGATTTCAAAGGTATGAGGGGCGTTCCGGGGAGTTCACTCTTCTTTTCCCTCTGAAAAACCGTCGGGCTCTCCACTTGCACCTTCAGTCAAACCCCCAAGCCCGCGTGCTAGCTGACCGAGATGGGCATGGAAATGGAACGAAAGGGGTGCGCGAACCTATGTTCCGAATTGGGTGGTTTCTCGAAATTAATCACTTCTTCCTATGAATCAACCTACCCCGAAGAATAAAACTGCCCTCAGAAGGTTTCTAAATTAGGGGGAAGTGACTATCTACCATGTCCTTTAAGATAGCTCCTTCTTCACAGACTCCCTGCCAACCACCAAAGCTCTGCACCCCTGCGGCGTTAAGGGATCCACCCCACCCCGCCCAAACCCCCCAACCTGCGCACCATGAAAGGAATGCTCATAGGGAGAAGGTATGTTGGAGGGTCCTTGGCACCCTTAAAAAAGGAATATATATATATATATATATATATTGGTCAGCCCCCCATCATGATCCGCCTTTCCTGTGTTGAAGTGTTTTTGTGATGGTTCGTCCGCAATGAAGATGCACATGTTTCATGTGTATATAGAGTATGTATGTGTGTATATATATATATATATATATATATATATATGTTATGTGTGTGTGAATGGGTGTATCTTGAGGCTACCCTTTTCAACTTGGTTTAAGCTTGGACACCAACGCGGTCGCTCTATCTTGAATCCCATGTTCGATAGATTCTGCTGCAGTTGGGGTTGTGTGTGTGGTTTCAGTAGTTGGAGGAAACCGAAGGAACACCGAAGCTGATTTTGGGGTCTGAAACCCCTCCATTTTGGCACCCACCCACTGGTTTCCATTGCAATACGACCCTTTTTCAAGTCCTCGCGAGAGCTTCGCGAGCGCTCATGCCTGCTTTTCGAAAAACATGGGCCTCGCCCAGTGGCTTGGCAGAGTGCAAAGCAAGTCACCCCGGAGAAGAAAACACACACACACACACAAATTGAGCACCTTTTGTGGCAGTTAACACCAACGAAGAGTGCACGAGGTCCCCCCAAATGATGTAAACCCCCGAAACCAAGCCACACCACCAGGCGAGCTCGACCTCGCAAGCGGCCTTTAAAACCTGCGCGCGTGCGCGGGTGTCGCAAAAACCCGCTCAGCAGAGGTCCGCGCGTTCCTCGGCGGCGTTGAGGGTGAGCTCCCGGCCGTCGGGGGTCTTGAAGTCGTCCTTGCAGTTCACCAGGAACTTGAAGTCTTCCTCCAAGGCCTCGAATTCGAATCAAGCGGAATCCAGCCGACGTGGCTTCTTAAGCTGGAAAGAACCCACCAAGCCGAAACAAAAACAGAGTCACAAGTGCCCTCCATGGTTGTGATCCCCGAACCATTTTGAGGGAACTCAGCAAACAAAGTGAGCCGCAATATTCCTCCAGACCGTTTGCGGGAAGCCAAAGAAAAGCAGAAAAAGATATCGTCTTCGTGCAACGCGGTGTCCACTACCCGAACCACTTCCCCAAATCGGGCTTCAGGGAGTCCCAGAACAACCACCCAAAGACACCGGGGTGTAGGCGAATTTTGTCAGAGACAGACATTTAGAGGGAGATGGCGGGGAAAGGGGGGGAGAAGCGGCCATCGCTCCCTGCTTTCCCTTTCATGGCATGACTGGAAAGGGATACTGGAGGATATGAGGGCATGGCCTCTCTCTTTTTTAAGTTCATGAAGGAAGAGAGAAGAGAAGAGGCCCATCCTCACTCTCTCCAGTCTCGATCACGATCTCATCTCCCACAAGTAGCTGTCAAAAAGGAGATGGGAAGTGATGGCTGGCTGTCCCTCGAGCCTCTATCCCACACAGCTACTTTTGGTTGAGATAGAGTGGGACGAGACAAGCTTGGCCAGCTCTTCCCCTCCCGCTCCCTTCGCGAATCGAGGCTCTAAAATGAAAACCTCCATCCTTGTTCCCTGAAGTTTCCATGACCCACAAAGTTGGTGACCCAAAACATGCTAAAATTGTCTTTTAGGGCCACAAAGAGACTCCAGGTATCCAGTTGTGCCACTTTGCAATTGCTGGGGAAGCAAACGGATCGCGGGAAAGGGTAGCAGCAGAAAAGCAAGGACATTACTTCATGAGCACCATCACAACCCACATAGGCTCACCAACGGCCACTTTTGATGGGCACTTGCGGCACAAGAGAAAAGTCGCATTTCGGAAACGACCCTGTTACAAAGCATCCGATGGGTTGCTTCACCTTAAGCCAAGAATGTCAAATCCATGGCTCCACCCCTAAACATGCATGTTTCGTTTTGGAGTCTCCCCCAAAAAAACAAAAACCGTCCCCAAAATGGGAAGGGTTTCCGGTTAATTTCCTTCAAAGGGGGGTCCGCAATTGTTAGACCCCCCTTTGTCACAAAATAAGGGACCCCCCCAAAAAAAAAGAGAATTATGGAAAAACAACAATAAAACGCGCATGTTGCTCCAAAACAATGTTCTTTTGGCTCTCACCCAAAACTGGGCCAGACTTAGACCCCTGCAAAGGTCTCACCTTTTCGCCGGCTGCAAGAGAGAATGTGCTGGAAACCGCCTAAAATCGGACGCCTGCCACACACACCCCACACACACACACCGCCCCCATCCCATCCCTTTTCCCCATCTCCCAAACCCCCGCCTCGCGCTCCTCCGCCTCGAGAGCCATGGTGCGGTCCGGGTGGGCCTTGAGCGACGCCTTCCTGTAGCCCCCGTACTTGCAGAGCTTCTTCATGCCTCGGCGATTGATTTTTTTCCGGCCTCACCTTTCAAACAAGGAGATCCTCGAGCCCGAGCCTAGGCTCGTGATGCGACCTGGTTTCAGCAAGATTGTGGTAAGGCCAGCTCACTTCCTGAGTCTCGAAACGACTCTTTGGCGGCACGGCGGATTCTGCCCCTTCAAAGCATCGGTGTTCCATGGCCCAAACCCCAGGAGACGATCTGGTTCATGAGTTGCTTATTCTTTTTGCCCGCAAGGACCCTGCTTGAGGTTTGCGGCCCACTTCCTGAATAAAAAATCGCCAAAACACATTGAACTTTTTGTTTGCCACTCAATGGTCCAAACCCAAAAAGTGACTAAAGACCAGGACCATGGGGTCAAGGACTCCTAGTGTTTTTCGAGGAAAGAGACCCTCGGGCGGCTCGAAATCCAGGGTGCAGAGCGACTTCCTCTTGGCTTCCGCCCACACGTTCACGGCCCCGTCGGTGTCCGGCTCCTCAATCTTGAGCCAAGATGTGGGTGTGTAGCTCTTGAGGGTACCACTTGTTTGTGGGCTTCAAAAAACAAAGAGGAAACACACAGTTTGTTGGGCGTCTCAAAAAGACACACCCGTATCAGAATCCATCCGAAGCTTCCTTGCAAGTGGGAATGTGCCGCGTGCTGGGGCATATCTCAAAACATGTCTGTCTCACAAAAGGGACCTCTCTCAAGTGGATTTCAATCTGCAAAGCCCGAAAATTCACCCTACAGCTCCCGAATTTGGAGAAAAAAGTTTTTGAGCCAGCATCAATATTTGCTGTGTGGGTTGAATTCATTCTGCTTTTAGTGACTTCGCGTTTTGCACGCGCGTGCAATGCCCGACGAACCCTCTGCCGCGATCACGCGCCTCCCATATATGCATTGCTCTCATTGTGGCGCCGTGCGAATGCGTAAACTGGCAGACGAACCAACTGCGAGGATTGCGCGTGTCAAAGCGCCCTCGCTGTGACGCCGTGCGAGAGTGAAAAGTACCCGATGAACCCTCTGCAGTTATCACGCGTGGCCAAGCGCTCTCGCTGTCTCGCGTGCGCGCGCAGGCGTGCGCGTGCACGAGTGCGTGTGTGTCTGTCTGTGTGTGTGTGTGTTTGTGTGTCGGGTGTTTTGCTTGCTTGCTCGTTTGTTTGTTTGTTTGTTTGCTTGTTTGTTTGTTTGTTTGTTTGTTTGTTTGTTTGTTTGCTTGCTTGCTTGCTTGCTTCCTTTTGCTTTTGCTTGCTTTTGTTTGCTTGTGATTGTGTGGTTGTGTGCGTTCATCCTGCTTGCAATGTGAAAGCCCAAAGTGTCCAATTGCTAGACGATATACAACCCGTCGCAACCAGCCCGGCATGACAGTTGAGCAAGAAAAACATCATCGAACGCATGATGTTCACAAACCATGTTCAGAAGGGTATCGTTTTTGCTAGCCCCCTATCGTTCTCTAAAACATGCAAAAAAGCTATTGAATGAAACGCCTTTACTAAAGTGGTATTTGATAGTTTCTGAAGTTGCCTCATATTTGTGTATGTTGTCCAAACGCATCTCTGCCTATTATTTGGCCACCCAGGTCGCTTCTCGAACTCCCCAAAACAAGTCACTCTCTGCCAAATTCACCTCCATTTCTGGCAAGTTCGACCAACATGTGAGTGTGTCTTAACATCAAGGGAGCCCTAACATGGACTTCGGGCTGTCCCCAAAAAAGCAACCCCAAAAAGGATACCCTCAAAAGAAGACAGACCCATGTCGGGGAAGCCTTTTGTGGGTGATTTTGAAAGAATAAGACGACCCCCCCCTCTTTGATTCGTTTGATTTC